TCTCTGCTTCTTTGTGTGCCCTATATCAGGGAGGGGAGATCTGACACAGTCAAAGTCTATATAATAAAGATAAATTCCCTTTTGGATCTCTCAGCCCTCTCTAGGCTTTGACAGCCGCGCTACGTCGTTTATCGATACCTTCCGGAAATAGAAGCTTTTTAAATTCTCTTACACCAATCGTTCTTGCGTATGTTTTGTTAGCAGCTTAGCTTTGTAAATTCTTGAGGTGTCCTGGACATCATATCTGAGGAGTTCATAGTTTCCTCTAGACGCTCGCTACTTAGCTGCACATAGACGATCTGCTGTCTCTTTTAAGTCCGTAATTCTGATATTTGTCAATGAATACAAGCACTCACAAATCCTTGAAGATGCGGCCCAGAAATCATTTTTTTAAAAAGATTCCCAGGTGAATTCTAAATGCGCAAGCCAAGGTTGAGAACCACTGCTGTAAGGGATGAAGATTTGAGATTGTATGGGGAGAGAAAGGGAGAAAGTAGAAAAAGAAATATGGGGCACACAAGATAATGAAGGGCTGAAACTTGGAAAGAATTTTTAAAACGGAATCTTACATTCAGCTTTTCCTATAAGTATGAAATGTGGATATTATAGTTCAAGGCAGGAGTCTGGAAATCAAGAGGACAGAATTAAACTGTAGCATGAGACATGGAAGTTTAGGTGACTAAGAATTTCTTGCAAGTATGGTTGTAGAGACTCGGGTCTTTTAAAAATCAAGGCATTTGGGGGAGGTGGGAAGGATGACCTAAATATGAGCTGGCCCAATATAACACCAGCAAGTCTCTAAAAATATAATTTGTGATGATGCATCATTAGTGCATTGGTGGCAATGGAAGGTCAGAACTTCTGTTAAGTTTCATTAGTCTTAACTCCCCTAAAGTTACTGGTAAATCTGAAAATCAGAAGAGTTTTAACATGGAGGGAGAAAGAGGGAAGATGATAGTAATCGGATACATGGGGCCATCTGGCAGGTCATGTGTCCCAGGCTCAGAGACAGCTTAACAGCATGAACTGACAGTAATTTCCAGTAACTCTCCCAAGCCCTCACATCTCCAAACCTGCTTGTAGGAAATGGTCTTTCTTTAAAATCAATACTTAGAAGAGATCTTACTATTCCCATGGGGTGGTAGAGATGGGAGTTTGCTAAGAGGGGAACGGCTGAGAATCAAAAAGCCTACTTTAGACCTCAGTGCTTAAATTGCCTTTATAGGACAAAGAAAAGACTGGCGAGTGACTCAGATTCAAATGCTGTGATTCAAAGAGCTTTTCTATTTGAGTCATGCCCAAGGAGAGCCTTATTCTTGTTCTAGGTTTGGAATTGCCTCTGGGTTCGTGCTTAGAATCACTATGCCAAGTAGCAGACTCAAAATGGCTCCTCTTTTCAAGAGCAACTGGGAACAGATCAGTGTTGGTGTGTTCCTGATCTAAAGTGACCCCTCCCGAGGTGAGGAATCAGTCAGGGATACACTGAACCCTACCAAAAGCCCTTCTTCATACCTTTATCCTGCCCTGCACCACAGCAGATTTCCAGAATGAAGCAGGATTTCCCAAGACTTGAAATTAGAGATAAGCAGAACACCTGTAAACGTTTCGGTTGTCACCAATGAAGGCAGATTGTTCTACATCTTCCCAAACTCCTCCGTTGCCCATCTCCAACTTTGGCCTTGGCAACCAGGAACCCCAGAAGTAAACCTGCCCCTACCTTTACTCTAGAACTTTCTCTGGCACCAGGCAGACTTGAGGAGTTCAGGCAACTAAGCATCTGGACAACTAATGATATTCAACAAATATGATGTGACCAACCAGGAACACTGTTTTGGGCAAGAGGAAATAATCAAACTAGCCTGATTCATGCTAAGAAGTTACTATTGATAGGAAACTATTTTGAAACTATAACATGATTCATATGTGCTACATAACTAGTAGAAGTTAGTGTCAATGAGAGTATCAAATTAGAAACACTCAAATCTCAAACTTCACTGTTAAAAATGTTTTTCTCTCACTGCCACAAAGAGTCAGTAGTGAGACTCACTCTTTCCCCTGTGTCTTAATGCATGTTAGTACCATAAAAGAGAAAACAAGGGAAACTTGGACTGTGTGACACTACTAAAAAGATTCTGGATGAATTAAAGGACTAAGTGTTTTTATCCCAAACTAATCTGGGGAGTGTGAGAGCCATGGAGGGCAAGAGACTCCAGATCCAGACCCAGCACCATCTCTGCGCAACTGTAAGAGCCTAGGACTCTTGGGGCTCCATTTTCTCCTCTAGAATTATTGCAAGGGAGAGGGCACGTCAGATGAATTGCAAAGTCTCTTTCTATAGTAAAATTCTATTCTCTTCTACAAAGACTATTCTAGAGTGACTTTGCAAAAAATGACAAAACCCAGTACTTGGAAAAAAAAATGAGGCAAAACCTAACAAGAAAAATCAGACTCCAGTGGTGCAGAATTTTTATTTAAAATCGAAAATCCCTTCTACCCTAGCCAATATTGCTCAGTGGTCAGAGTATGGGCCTGCATACCAATGGGTCATGGATTCCCTTCCCAGTCAAGGGCACAAGTGCCCACCAATCTCTTCAATGCCTCTCTCTCTCTCTCTCTCCCTGCCTCCCGCCCTCCCTCCCTTCCACTCTCTCTAAAAGTAAATGGGGAAAAAAAAATCCTCAAGTGAGGATTAACAACAACAACAAAAGAAAATCCCTTCTGAAATCCTACTGTTATTTTTTTTTTTCAGGCAATGGGTACTTAGTGTTCTCAGGTGAGTCCTTACTATGACCTTGGGAAATGGAGAAAGAGATGATTTCTAAAATCTTTTCATTGATTTCTGGTGCTATCACCAAGGTCAA